TATTTATACATTCTGTGTTCATTCTAATAGTATGTTTGATTCTCACACTCTATTGTGCTATGTATGGCTCTGCACTAACCTTGTGCTGCTCCAGAGCTCTATGCACGGTGCTGGCTGTGATATCATGTGCCTGCTGGATGGTTATCTCCTGTCGCAGAGCTTCCTCGGCATCGTGCAGCCATGCTCCCACTGTGTCCAGAGGAGCTGGCAGAGACCTATCCAGCTGAAGATGCCAGTCCAGTAACTAAGATGGATAAAAACAGACGATGTCTCCTTAAATAATGACCTCATCACACAAATAATTTAATTTTTAATTTCTATAAAAAAAAGAAGGAGACACTAAGTCATCAGCTCTTTATAAAAAACACAACTTGTGTTAGCGCAAATAAGGTAAAAGGAAATAACCTTAAACGATAAATCATCATACAAGCTTAAAAAATGGCTGATTCTCAGAGTTGCTGGCAAAGCACAAAATAAATTCAAATTATGCCTTCTGAAGTCCTTATGTATGAATTAGAACATTGTAAACACTCCATCGACCTCCAGGAGTAGCTTTAAATATCTTTAGATATCACTTTTTCTGAATGGAAAGAAAATGCTCTGTGTGCAATTCTGAACAGGAGGCGAGTGGGTAATCCCACTGCTCTCACCCTTTTGGAGATCCTTTCCCAGGCCTGTTTGACCAGAGCCTGATCCACAGTCAACATCCCATCCCTCTGAGTAGACTGCAAAGCTCCCTCCACCTGCTTCCTCCTCATCTCCAACTGGACACGCAGACTCTTGAACAGCTGAAAAGCAAAAATCAGTGACTCACAGCTCTTTATCCTCGATAAAAGGATGATAATGAGTGTTCTCTCTCTCATAGGTCATACCCTTTTCCCATTTGCATCTTATCAGATCCTCATATGTTCTACCTTTAAAAACTGTCCCTCTATCTGGCTTTAGACTTTCAGAGCTATGCAATGACAATGAGGATATCCCACATGCTGCTGAATATGGAATGTATCCCGAGGCTTGGTGGAATAAGCCAGATTGACTGAAAACATGACGGCTGCTGCCTGATCCCCACAGTCTAATACCACTGATTAAGCTAATAATAGGAGCGTCTGTGCCCAGTGTGCCCAGTTTAAACACACCCCGCCACAGACACACACACACTCACACTAACCTGGTACTGCTGAGCAAGACTGCCCTCAGTCTCCTGAGCCTGTATTGTATCTCTCTCCAGCTGGTCGAGCCACATCCTGAGCTCCCTCAGGCTCTTTCGCTGCTCTCTCTAGGTGGCCGGGATCACGCAGGAGTGGCAGAGTAAACGAGTAGGAGATTGGGAAATAAAAGAAAAGAGGACAGTGCAGCCCAAAAAAAGGAGGAAAGAAAAGAAGACAGAGTGGAAAAAGTGATTGACCGGGATGAAAAGAGGAAAGAAGGGAACAAGAAAGCAGAGCATGCACGGTTAAACATGTGTTCCCCTAATCCTCTGTGTCTCCCTGCAGGACAAAACGTCAAAAACCCACAGCTGCCAACAACACTCAGCTTAGACAGGATACTTTGTCTAAGACCCCCTACGAACATTTCATTGGATTTTAAATAAGCATGACGATAATGCGATGCTGCTAAAAAGCTTGTGCGACAGACCATTCAGTTTGAGAGCTGTTCAGTCTGAATCTATTCACTTGTACCACCCCTCCTGAAGGAAGCCCCAACTTTATTCTCTATGACAGCTCAGAACATGGAAGTAGATCAAGTTAATTCTAAAAGGAAACAGTCTTCCATATTTTACTCACCATCATTCTCTAAATATTTTCTACCCAAGTGTTTATGCTTCTGTTTATTTTTTAAATTCACGCTTTGTCACAGCTAATTAATCTCCAGTCCAAACACCAGGAAGTAAGGAAGAACAAAAAGCCCTATCGGTGTTGTAAAACAGCAAAACACGGTGTGACATACATCTGGACACAGCAAACAATAAAAAAGGCCAACCTCTATTCACAAGCTTTCCATCAAATATGCTGTATCAGTGCACACTGCCGATGCCAGAGGCCTTCATTGTCATGCTAATGGGACCGAGAGCCAAAGCGCTCAGTGGTAGCATTCATAAATGGTAATATCACATCTTATTATATTGGACTTCCTTCCGTTATCATGGCTTAGAAACCCCGCGGCCCGAATATCACATCGGGTTAGATAAAGAGCCAATATTAGGATACAGGCTTTATTTTGACATGAAAAATCAGTGTTTAATCCCATTCTTACAAAGTACAGTAGGAACTGATACAGCAATCCAATAGAGGAGGCAGAAAAATATGCTTTAATGAAATTTATATGGAAACCGTGAATGATCACGGGTGGTAATTGCATTGCGTTGGAGGAAATTATTGAAAACTCTCCCCTGGGAACCAAAGTGGCTAAATAACCTACCTCCAACATTTCCTCTATATCCCGAGGTGCAAGATCATGCTGCAGAACAGAGTCCAGCACAACAACCACAGGAAAGCAGTCACCATACAAACGCACCAGAGAAGAAGACAAAGAGCGACACAAAGAGAGAAAGATGTACAAAAACGAAACACAGAACAGACAAGACACTGCAGCAGCTCGTTTCAACCTACTTTAAAAACTAGATAGCTTCGAGTCATTAAATAAGAGATTTTAACTAAATTCTGAATCAATTAAATATAAAATTAGACAAGCAGATTTTTCTTTTCCCCCTGAACCTTGAACATTGCACTTTGATAGCTCAAAATGATTATAAATAATACACATACAAACATACAAATACATATACAAAAGACAAACATTCACTATGCAGAAAGAGAGAAGATGATCACAATGACAGCCTATCGAGACCGAGACAGCCGGTTACCTCTACTTGTAGCTGTCCCTCGGAGCCGCTCTGCTTTCGTTCTGGAAGGTGCTTCAGGAATTGGGCTACATATGTCATGACAGATTTCTCATCTGGCTTTTCTACGTCGACATCTGAGACGGGAACCAAAAAAATAAAGTCAGAAGTCAAATAAGCTGGCTGTAAATCCTTAAAGAGTTTTCTCATAGAGAAAAATATCAGCCGTTGATAAGAATCGGCTTGACTGAAGGAGACAAGCGGGCATCTCAAATAAAATCAATTTTCACCATTTCAGATCAGTGTCCAAGTTTTGTTTGAGGGTTCCGCCATGCTGGATCTCATGGCCTAATGCACCTTAATTATGCTGATGTCAAGCTTGATTTGCTGGAGTACATTTTGAAGGGCAGGCATGAAGGGGAGCAGATGGTGTCTGGCAGTGAAAGTGAGATGCACATCTGATGCAAGGACTGACCCAGTATTGTACAGTATTTCTATTCTCTAAAACTTGCCTTGCAAACATTTCCCACAGTATTCATGCCCCATGGTAGGCAACTGTCTCCTCAGTCTTGTGTCTAGTTTAACTTCCCCCTTGTTATCTCATCATCTTGATTTAACTGAGCTGTATTTTGGTATCCTTCTGTTTCCTTCATGTGTATAAATTGTCCTGTATGGTTTCTTAGTCTTTGTCATAACATCTGTTTACCTGTCCTTCTGTTCCCCCTGTCTGTTTTCAAGAAGCTTTGTAGGAATATGTTTTATATTTTAGACATTTGGGGATGACTACTTTTGGGTCCTTCTCCTGCAAATCGTAACAGAAATTTGGGTTTAATGAGTAAACATCCCCTTGTACTGGTGAATGCTGGGGTGGTGGTGAGATTGAAACACCACGCAGCAGAGCAAGAAGCATGTTAGAGGAAGAAACAGGACTTTTTTCAGCTTAGGATGTGTTTGGTATATGTAGGTGTATAATGCACCATGGCTTCAGTGGACTGCCTATCTGCCTCTTTACTGCATTAATCTGTATTTTGTAGCAGAGAGAATCCAGTCTGCGACATAAAATATTATTTTTAAGCAGGGCTCTAGAGTGCGAACAAATTTTTCAATGGTGCGACTAAAGAAAATGTTAGGTCGCACCGGTGCGACCAACTGTTTGAGTAACAAAAAAATAAAAAATAAATACTCTGCAACTCCAAACGTCTCCGTGTGGTCAACAGCAGACACTCATTATGCCTCTATCGTGGTCTAAACCAATCAAAGATAGTCAGGGGCGGGACCTCTCTGATTGATCGTGGTCCAGATATTCATGTAGTCCGTGTGTATGTTTGAAAGTGCAGGGCAGCTGGATAGAGAGAAGTGAGTAGCTTGAATAAAGCGACATCGATTCATTAAATCCTGAATCGACTTTTAAATATAAATGTATTTTTCCAGGTAATTTTCTCAGGTTAAAGCTCACAAAACTATTTCAACAACCACCAAACAGCAAATGAGAGCAGGTTAACGGACTCCACACGGCATCGGGGCTGAAAGCCGACAGCTCACTGATTCTGATGTGTCGGGTCTGCGCTGTGTTTATGTCTTTTCTGCACTAGATTCTGAGCGGCAGGTTTTGCCTCTCTCCAACCAAAATTCACTGAACCAGCAGCAAAAGAATCAACAAACTACGCTTCACATTTGATAAACATCGTCATGAATTCTCTCTTACTTTTGCTATTTTGCCTCTAAAAC